TAAATATAACTAAACATAAAAAAGGTACAGTAACAATATGTCATAAAAGATTTTTTAAACGGTACTCCCATACAGGGTACTTGCCATAACTGGAGCTTGCAGGACTGGCAGTTGCTCTGGATGAGTGAGTGAGTGACTGGTGAGTGACCGTAATGGTCTAGGACATTACCGACCAGTGCTTTGTGCTTTATCAACACTGTACTCTTAGGCTGCACTACATTTTTTTTTTAAAGATTTTCTTTCTTCAATGACAAATTAACCTTAGCTTACTGTAACATTTTTACTTCATTAACTTTTAAATTTGTTTACTCTTTTGTAGTTACACTTAGCTTGAAACACACATACATTATAAAGCTATACAAAAGTATTTTCTTCATATTCTTATTCGATAACCTTTTCTTCTATGTTTATTTTTTTAAATTATTTTACTTCTTAAATATTTTTGTTAAAAACTAAGAAACAGGCCTGGCATGGCAGCTCATACCTGTAATAATCCCAGTACTTTGGGAGGCCGAGGCGGGCAGATTGCCTGAGCTCAGGAATTCAAAACCAGCCTGGGCAACATGGCAAAACCCCAACTGTACTAAAAATACAAAAAATTAGCTGGGCGTGGTGGCAGGCCCCTGTAATCCCAGTTACTCAGGAGGCTGAGGCAGGAGAATCGCTTGAACCCAGGAGGTGGAGGCTACAGTAAGCTGAGATAGCACCACTGTACTCCAGCCTGGGCAACAGAGTGAGACTCTGTCTCGAAAACAAAACAAAACAAACAAACAAACAAAACAAGAAACAAACACACACATTAGCCTAGACCTACAGAGAGCCAGAATCATCAATATCATTGTCTTCTACCTCCACACCCAACCCCACTGGAAGGTCTTCAGGGACAATGACAGGCATGGAGCTGTCACCACCTATGGTAACAATGCCTTCTTCTGGATGCCACTTGAAGGACCTGCTTGAAGCTGTTTTACAGTTTGGCTTTTTTCTGTAAGTAGGAGGAATATACTCTAATAAAAAGTATAGACAGTAAATACAAAAACCAGTAACATCGTTGCTTAGCATTATTATCAATTGTTATGCACTATATATACTTGCACGTGCTATCCTTTTCTACCACTGGCAGTACAGGTCTGTTTACACCAGCATCACCACAAACAACACACAGGTAATTCATTGCCCTTCAACATCACAACAGCTACCACGTCACTAGGCAATAGGAATTTTTCAGCTCCATTATAATCTTATGGGACCACCTTTGTCCATGCGGACCGTTGCCCGGAAACATCATTATGCAGTACAGGGGTGTATCAGGAATTGATTAGATGTGATTTTCTTTGAGTTCACACAGCTATTGAATCTGTAGACGGTACCTTTTATTTGTTGTAGGAAATTCTCAGGCATTATCTTTCCTTTTTTTTGAGATGGAGTTTCACTCTTGTTGCCCAGGCTGGAGTGCAATGGCGCAATCTCAGCTCACTGCAACCTCCGCCTCCCAGGTTCAAGCGATTCTCCTGCCTCACCCTCTCAAGTAGCTGGGATTACAAGCGCCTGCCACCAAGCCTGGCTAATTTTTGTATTTTTAGTAGAGACGGGGTTTCACCATGTTGGTCAGGCTGGTCTTGAACTCCTGACCTCAGGTAATCTGCCCACCTCGGCCTCCCAAAGTGCTAGGATTATAGCCGTGAGCCACCACACCCAGCCAAAAAAAGAAAATTCTAAAATTGAAAAACATAATAATTGAAATTAACCAAAAGAACAGATTAGACTCAGGCTAAAAAAAATCTTGTGACTCAGAAGAGAACTCAGAAGAAAATACCCACAAAGAAGCCTGGAGACATAAAAAAATGAAAAAATTTAGAGAGGGTGGGAGACAGGTACAGTAAGAAGGTCTCACTTGTGTTTAATTGTCACAAGAGAGGAGAGAGAAAATTTAATGAGACTCTGTCTCAAAAATAAATAAATAAATAAAATAAAAAATTAAAAAATATAATGTTCCTTGTGGGTAAATTTAAAAAAAGAAAAAAATGCGGCCAGGCGCGGTAGCTCGCGCCAGTAATCCTAGTACACTTTGGGAGGCCGAGGTGGGTGGATTACCTGAGGTCAGGAGTTCAAGACCAACCTAACCAACATGGTGAAACCCTGTCTCTACTAAAAATACAAAATTAGTCGAGCATGGTGGCACATGCCTGTAATTCCAGCTACCAGGGAAGCTGAGGCAGAAGAATCACTTGAACTCAGGAGGCAGAGGCTGTGGTGAGCTGAGAAGGCGCCATTGTACTCCAGCCTGGGCAACAAGAGTGAAACTGTCTCAAAAATAAAAAAAATAAAAAATAAAAAGTCTCATATTTTTAATAGAGTTCTAGGCCAGTGCAGCCTAGAACTTTCATTTGGTTCTTTTTTATAGTTTCTAGTTCTCTGCCAAAACTCTCCATTTGATCTTGTATCTCTTTAAACACAATAAGCAGAGTTGTTTTAAAGTCTGTGTCTGGTATCTGGAAGCCCTGCTGATCTGTCTATAGTCTGTTGTTTCTACTGGTTTTAACTCAAGTGCCTTGCCTCCCTGGGTGTCTATTTTTTTTTATTACATGCACAATAATGAATTTACAAACAGACTTGTGAAACTCATTAGAGGTCTTAAATGATGATATCTCCCTCTAGAGAAAATTAAAGTTTGTTTTTATGGGGAATTTGGAGACACTAGTGCACTGGAATTAATTTCAGAGAACTGAGGTGACCTGAAGCAGGACTGCAGTCCTTCCAATCTTACTTCTGGCTCATGCCCTTTCCTTGGAAGTGGCTTCTTGGGGTCCCAATGCAAATTGTGAGGGGAGGGTGTCACCCAGGATTCTTGCCCTTTGGCAGAACCTGATGCTTCAGCCCTCCTAAGGCACTGGGACAGTCTGACAGATAACGGAGCTCAGCCTCTCAGCTCCCATGTTTGTTTGGTTCATGGCCCTGTGTTTGTTCCCTAGGACTGCCACAAACTTCAAGGCTTAAAGCAAAAATGTACCATCTCACTCTGGGGACTGGAAATCTGAAATCACAGGATCAGCAGGGCCGCACTCCCTCTGCAGGCTCTAGGGAGATTCCATCTGTCACCTGTCCCAGCTTCCAGCGGCCACAGGCATTCCTAGGTTTGGGGCAACAGAACTCACCTCTGGCTCTGTTTTCCCTTAACCTTTTTCTCCATGTGTCTTTCTGTCCAAATCTCCCTCTCCTTTCTCTTATGAAGACACCAACAGTTGAGTTACAGTTTCTCCTAAATTCACGATGATTTACTCTCAGAATCTTTAATTAGCAGGAGGATCGTTTGAGCCCAAAAGTTCAAGGCCAGTATGGGGAATATAGTAAGACCCCATCTCAAAACGAAACGTTTTGGTCAGGCACAGTAGCTCATATCTGTAATTCTAGCAAGTTGGGAAGCCAAAGTGAGAAGATCGTTTGAGCCCAAGAGTTTGAGACCCTAAGCATGGGCAATGTAGTGAGACCTCCGTCTCCACACAAAAAAAGATTTTTTTAATTAGCCAGGAGTAGTGGAACACATCTGGAGCCCCAGCCACTCAGATGACTGAGGCAGGAGGATTGCCTGAGCCCAGCTGGAGACTGCAGTATACCACTGCACTCTAGCATGGATGACCAAGCAAGACCCTGTCTCAAAAAAAAAAAGAAAACATTTTTAAAAGATACGTAACTAATATCTAATTATATCTGCATCCTGAAGTTCTAGGCGGACCAAATTTGGTGGAAATGCCAAACCCACTACAGATTCCAAAGTCAAAAGCAGCCCCAAATACCACACTTACTTCCACAGATCTTTGGCCTCCCCAGATCCTCGTCCAGAAATTCAGCATCAACTCATCAGCAGATTGTGCTCAGCAGAATGGCTCCTCTGTTACTCAGCCCACCACTACGAGAAGCAGAAGTCACTGCTCCCTGCTCACCTTTCAGACCTCAGCCAGTTACTCCCTCAAAAAGCCCTTCCCAGACCTCCCTGATATCAGGTCAAATTCACCTGTGATGTCCTCTCAAAGCACTCTGGCCTTCTCCTGAGCAGCACCAGTCCCCATCACAACTTTATATTAACCATGTGCTTGTTTTATTAAGGTCTTCCATTCAATCACCTCCAGGAATCCTTTTTGATGTTGTTGCTCAATAAGACACCCCCAGCGCCTCACACAATTAGCAATGTTAAGATCTCAAATATTTGCTGTTAAACTGGACCAGTGAAATAAAAAATACAATGCCTAGCCCATGGTATTCCCACTAGTAATCAGGAAATTAACAATTTCTTTAAAAATGGTATTTGTTAATTTTCAGCCAGATTTGTTTTTATTTGCTCTTCCGGAGGCCAGAGATGGAGACTCACTCAGACTAGCTGGAACTGGAGAAAAATGGAGTCAGGGAAATGATTCCTATCTGGGATACAAAAAGAATAATCAGAAAGACAAAAAATAATCAAAAGTAACCATTTAGTGACCACTTTATACATCAGCCACTCTGTTAAGTGTCCTACACAGATTATCCCATTTAATTTCATGAGTTAACATCACCATTCCTACTTTATGGATATAGCAACTGTTATCTCTATTTTACAGACACGGAAACTGAGGCTCGGGAACACACAACTAACATTTACTGTCACTACGACCAACCCAAGAACTAATATTTTCCATGTTTACAGATGAGGAAACCAAATCTTAGGGGAGGTTTAGACACCCTGTCCACATTCACACGCTTCATAACTAGAAGAGCAGGGTCAGAGGCGACTTCATCTGACACCAAAGTTTAGACTCTGAAATCCGACCATACAATCGCATTAAAACCCTTTTACATTACTTCATACCTACTAGGATGGCTATTATCAAAAGACAGATAATAACAGGTACTGGCGAGGATGTGGAAAAACTGGAACCCTTCTCATACACAGCTGGTGGGAATGTAAAATGGTACAGCAGTGTTACCATATGGCCCAGCAATTCCACTCCTAGGTATACAGCCAAGGTAAATGAAAACTATGTCCACACAAAAACATGTACATGAATGTTCACAGCAGCATTATGCAGAATAGCCAAAAAGTAGAATAACCCAAATGCCCATCAACTGATAAATGGATAAATACAATGCAGTATATCTGTAGAATGGAATATTACCCAGTAATAAAAATGAAGTATTTTTTTTGATGAACATTGAAAATATTATGCTAAGTGAAAGAAGCCAGATCACATATTGTATGATTCCATTTATGTAAAATGACCAGAATCAGCAAACACAGAGACAGAAAGTAGATTCTGGTTGTCTACAGTTGGTGGGGTTGAGAGGAAATGGGGTGATGAAAATGTTCTGAAACTGACTGTGGTGATGGTTACACAACTGTGAATACACTAAAAGCCACTGAACTATATGCTTTAAATGAGTGACCTGTATGCTACGTGAATTATATCGAATAAAACTGGGGTGTATTTTTTTTAAGTTTTTACAACTTTAGCCATTTACCTAATTTTTACTAGTCTTCGTTTCACAATGGGAAAAAATGCTTTGCTTAAATTTAAAATCAGGAATCCAGGCACTTTCATGCTCATATCCAAAATAATGTTAACTTCTTAGAAACATTTAAACAAATTAAACTCTTTTAACTGATAGCTTCGCAGAATTACACGGTTCTTTACTGAAATTTCAAAATACCTTATAATGTGCTAGTGAATGCACTGGTTGGTGCATTAGCTCCATTTTCTTCTTTTCCATTCTAGCTATGCAGTTCTACAGAGTCATTACAGTGTACTATGGCCAGGAAATACAAATGAAGTAATGTCTCTGCTGGGGACAGTTTCAACTCTAAAGAGTTTGAACATATGAAAAAATCAGACATGCATGAAACGCTAAACTGATCAATGGCCATCACAAATCTGCACACATCAAATTTTCAGTATGCTAAAGACTTATAACCTGAAGAAAGATTTGGAGTTTGGAGAGGCTTCTCTTTTACATGTGTGCCCTGTTCTAAGTGTGGTCCATGGACCAGCAGCATCAGCATCTTCTGGGAGCTTGTTAGAAATGCATATTCTGCAGGGCGCAGTAGCTCAAGCCTAGTAGGCTGAGGTGGGTTTATTGCTTGAGCTCAGGAGTTTGAGACCAGCCTGGGCAACATGGTGAAACTCCATCTCTACAAAAATTAGCCAGGCATAGTGGCATGTGCCTCTAGTCCCAGCTATTCAGGAGGCTGAGGCAGGAAAATCACTTGAGCCCAGGAGGCAAAGGTTGCAGTAGCTGACATCACACCACTGCACTCTAGCCTGGGTGACAAAGTGAGACCCTGTCTCAAAAAAAAGAAAGAAATGTGCATTCTAAGGCCCCACCCTAGACCTACTCAACCACAGTCATCATTTTAACAAGATCCCTAGGGGATGGGTCTGCACCTTAAAATTTGAGGAGCACTGTCCTAAGACTTTTTTTTTTTTAAAGACAGCTCTGGCTTACACTAGACTAATATTTTTAAAGTCTGACATACATACAGTTCTGGTCCTGGGCCAGCTGGTCCTCAGATCCATTCTTTGTCCTTCTGCTTCAGTCCAAGCTGTGGAGGGGGTGACCCTGGCAAGGCCGGGGTTCCCAGGCAGCAGGGGAACAGTACATCTGCAGCAGCAGCCGTGCCCTTGCAAGGCTTCAGCCACTGCCAGATGGACCCCCTGTGACCCCAGTTTTTGGTGGGTGACAGCTGTCCCTGGAATCTGAAATGCCATCTCCTTCCTTCACCCTCCAGCTTAGAGGTGGCAGTGGTTTCCTGCTTGCTGCCTCATCTCCGGCTTGCCTCACTGCAGCTGCATTTTCAGTTCTTCCACCACCTGTGTGACCACTCCCCTACGTTACATTCCTTCTGTTCTAAATACTTAAAGTTCTGGTTTTTTTTTTTTTTTTAGACTCAGACTGCTACTCCATACCATTCTGGATATTTCTATTATGTACCCTAGATACCAGAAAAATTTTGTGAATGGCTTATCTGCTGGGAAAAAAAAATGGAGCTATTGCACAGTCAACCTCGCATTCCCACATTCTGACAATCTCTTAACAACTCAAAAGAAAAATCAGCCTTAAGCTATCTGTACAGCAGATGTGACTGTATTCAGAAGCTCTAAGTCCTCAGGGTGTATTTTTAACAGTCTACCCATCACTCCTCCTCAACCAGAACAGCTGGTATAGCAGCTATTGTTTTAGGAGAAAAAAGAAGGAAAGCAAAACACCTCCTAACGAACAGAATTCTGAACTAGCACTGGAATCTCCTAGGAATCAAATCTCTCTCCATACAATCTTGATCTTAATCAACCTTGTAAACCACATAATCTACCCCACACTGGGCAGTACCTTGCCTGGGCAACAGGAGAAAGCAACTCCTATCAGTACCATTCAGGGTTATTCGGAGATCTTCCCAAAAGTACATCTGATCCACCACCCCCATGCTCTGAACAATCCTCTGTGGCCACCTCTTGCCCAAAGCCAAAATGCCAACCCTTCAAAGAACCAGCCCTTCGAAATTCAGCCCTCACCTACCCTTCCAACCTCTAAGTCTACTCAACGTGCTCCACCTTCTGGTCCAACTTCTGATCATTTCCCAGGTGTGCCTAAAGCTCTAGACACAATGTTCAAATATGTGGAAAGCCATTTCTCACCCACTTAGCCTGGCGAACTCTGTATCCCCCAAGACCTCACCTTAAAGGAAACCCCTCCTACCTCCCCAGGGCAGGTCTCTGCCCCAAGTTTCCACACCACTTACAATGTTGTCATGTCAGGTGCACAGGTATCCATCTCCCCACTAGACTGAGAACCCCTAGGTGTAGAAACTGCCTTCCATCTTAAGATCCTGACCATGGTTCCAATCCAGATCCACATTTATGACCTGTGACACCCTGGGCAAGTCATGTCACCTTGACTCTATTTCTATTCCAATTTCAAAAGACGGCGATGACAGCATCCAACTCACTGGGTTCTCACCAGTACTAATAGGCTAACCACGTGAAGCGCTGTAACACTAACCCAAGAAAGTGCCTGGCACATAGAAGGCATTGAAGAATTGTTATTTGCCATTGCTATCAGTAGTATTACTACTGCTACGGTTATACCCGGAAAAAAGCAGGTGTTCAGTATCTATTTGCTGAATAAATGGAGCACTTCACAACAAACCTGTTTGTAACATGTTAGGACCTCAGGTTCCCCCATCGCAGGTATCAAAGGCTGACAGAAGAGAAAGCTCCCACGGTGAAGGGACCGGCTGAACCTAACCCACCCTGGAAGAAAAGCGCACTGCAGCAGGAGGAGAAAGTCCGTGCCAACCGGATCTGCCAGCGCTGCCCCATGGACCCAGCCTGCTCTTGGCCACCTGTCCTGCCACCTGCTTGAGGACGCAGGGTTCTAACGGGGAGAGCTCACCTGGAGCAAAAAACCGTAAGCAGTTTTCAACAGGAAGCACAATGGTAAAACAAACGGTGCAACTTTCCTCCTGCAAAAAAGGACGTGCGTCTTTATCTAATATTTAGCGTCCAGAGTTCTCCGTGGAGAGTTGGGTGCCAAGCGGGTGCGCGGTCCCAGCTATCCAGAGAGAGACGGTCACCGAACTGGCATCCCTTCCTTCCCTTTTGGGATGAAGGGGTGAAGGGGTGATTCCCTCGCAGCCGGGTCCGAGAGGTCTCCTGAGGGCACCACAGGGAAGTCAGCAGGGCACTCGCAGAACACCATCCGACCGCTCCTGAGAAACGCTCAGAACCGGGGTTTGGGGACCGCGCAAGCCCGCGGGGCGCAGCCGCGAGTCCCCGTGTGGGACCCGCTCGGTGACACGAGCGCAGCCCCCTGCATCCAGGCCTGTTTCCTCCTGGTCCTCGCGGCCCACCTCGGCGCGCGCCCCCCGCCCAGCGCGCGACCCCCTGGGGCGCCCACCTGCGCGCCCCCAGCCCAGCCCTGCCGCCACCCGCCGCCCGTCGGGGGCCGCGCTCTCGGCCCGGGGCGCCGGCCCGTTACCGCGGCGGGGCGCGCTCGACCGGAGCGGTGACGCCCACAGGACCCTGGGCCGGGCCGGGCCGGGCCAGGCCTGGGCGGCCGCTCTGGCAGGGCCACGGGCCTCCGCCGGGGCTGCGGCGGCGTGAGGGGCGCGCGCCCGGGCCGCCGCGCCGCGGGCTCACCTTCTGTCGGATCTGGCCCGACGTGGACACCTTGCGGATGAGCTTCTGCGGGGAGCCGGGCTCCGCCTCGGGCTCGCTGTCGGACGACTCCTCCGGCGGCGGCGGCGGAGGCGGTTGCGGCGGACCCGGCGGAGGGGCGCCCGCCGCCGCCGCCATGCTGCCGGGCCAGCGCGCGCACCGCGGGCGGGGGCGGGGCGGGGCCGGCGGGAGGGGCGGGGCCGAGGGCGGGCCGGGCCGGGGGCGGTGGGGGCGGCCTCCCGCCTCTCCCCGCCGCGCCCCCTGCCGGCGGTGCGCGCAGCTGCAGACGGAGCCGCCCGACCCCTCCCCGCCCCCACCTGAGGCGTCCCGGGGCCATCCCCACCCACCTCTGCGGGCCGTGGCTTCTGTGTGTTCTACCTGGGATGCGGTGTATGTTCTTCTGTTTCTGTGCTCACTTCTTAAAACATCTCTACTTTTCCCCCATCAGAATGTAGGTAACCCTTGGGAGCCCGGGGCCGCATCTGTCCAGCCCAGCCTTGCGTGGCCGAGTTTGGGGCGAGCTCGAATGCACACGCGCGTGCGGGAAAGAGACCCCGGTACTCGAACGGGCCTCGGGACGCCAGAACGGGGATGCAGCGCTGCATCTGGGAAGGCTTCCCTGAGAAAACGGTTGTTAAGAAGGGATGGAAAATGTGAGCTGGAGTTCTGACTAGGAAGAGATCAGATTTATGCAAAGGCCTGGAGGCAAGGAAGAACAAGTGTGGGGGGGGAAGAAAGGGAAGCCGGTGCTTAGAGCAAGAAAAACGGCATTCAGATGTGAGCCTTGGGGCAGGCAGGTCAAAGCGGGCTTTGGAAAGCAGATAAGGGGCTGGAGGGCAGCAGGAGGCCCTTGAGGGATTTAACCCTGGGCGGGGCTGGGTCACCACGCTGGGGCTGGGATCTGGGCTTTGAAGTAATCAGGGCAGGTGGAAGCCCTGGATTACCGAGAGGCTGAGAGATAGATACGTGGATTGAGATCCAGGTG